TTATATTTCTGGCAGACCATTAAATCCACAGAATAGGAAGAAATATAGCCTTAAACTTTGCTTAGAAAGTGGGAAATGTACTGCTCTGTAGTCTAATTTTTTTCTAAGGGAGCACAGTAAACTCCTCAGATGGCCAGATCCTGAGCTGTACAAATAAAGCTCACAATACAAAAATAGCAAGAAGGTTCATAAGTCTAGTCTTCCTGTTCTTTTTCTCCATGACTTTTTGGTGGTCTCAGAAATTACGTCCTTGAGTTTTTCCATCCATAGCAGACGGAACAGAGTGTTGAATCTTTAAGAAAAAATTGTTTCCCTTAAAAATGCTTGCTGAGTACTTGAGTTGAACAAGTAGTCTAAGAACCCAATGACTGATTAAAATGTAAAACATATTCAGTTCCATTGATTAAAAAATTGCCAGTAATTTCATTGTCACAACTTTCAGAAATAATCTGAAATAATTCATAGCTGATTGGACGTTCAATTTGTAAACTGGAAAGTAAATTAGGACATGGAAGGTCTACAAAAAGGGAATAAATTTAAATCTCTTAGTCCTTTGATGTAAGAAAAATAAAAGAGTATAAAATGTGAAACTATTCACAGAAGCAAGACATTTCTGCTTTTTAAGTCCAAAACAAAATTGGATTTTTTTTTCCAGATTAATGTGGTTTTTTTCAGATTTATGTAGTAAGACCAAAATGCAGTCTTGACTTGAAAGAAAATATTGAGAAAATTGTACTGAATTCAGTGAATAGACTTAAGAATTATTTAAAAAATTGTTAATATAACTCCTTCTTTTCGGTATTAATATTTTGGGCCTTTTTAAAGGAAGTAATTGAGGTTGCGTTTAGTTACATTTATTTTTCAAACTATTAGTGGAGTGAAATATAATATTTTATTTCCCCCCTTCCCAAATGATTGTTAACTTTTCAGTCCCTCCACAAATTTTCCTCTCATGGTATTGCACATCAGCTACTCATTAATCACATCACTCCAGCCACATCTGGTATTCCCTGCTCCCTACTTAAGTAGAGAATTTTCTTCTGGAAGTGGGAAGATGCAGAAATGTAAGCTCCCCTCCTGAAACCAACAGTGTTGTGTTGGATTTATTTGAGTAAAAAAGAAAGTAGGATTTATCCTGTGCTGTTGTTTTATTTGTATGAGTGGTATAAGAAAGAGGCTTTCTTGCATGTGTCAGTGGAAAGGGAGTTCCGGGGAGTTTCAGTGTGATCCAGAAGCATGTCCTGCACTTAGTAGTGCTTTGTAGGTGGTGGGACAAGAAAGTTCCCTAGGTGTTCCCAAGAGATCTGCTGAGCCCTCCGGGTCATCCCTCTGGCCCCTGCATCCACCCCAGCCAGCACTCATTCCATGCATGTCCTTCCTGTGTCCTCTGCTGCCTGTAAGGAAACAAGCAAGGATGGAGGGTCATTAAAGACTCTGCACAACTCCAGAGACTGATCCATCTGACATTTGAGGGCCAGGGTTAAACCCAGAGATAGAGAAAACAGCTAACATCTCCTTAAAGCTTTAAAGGTAAGGTGACACTAGCCAGCTGAAGATCTGGTCAGCTATCATTAATGAATATTAATGATTGAAAAAAAAAGATAGTTTAACTTTCAGCCATTGCTTTATAGTTTGACTTCTCTCTGAGATTTAGGACTTTGGCCAAATCAGTGCTCTTGTGAAGTGGAGGCAGGAGCTTTTCCTGCATCTCTACTTATGCATTACAGGTCACAAAGCACTGCCATACCTGAGCAGTGGCAGATGTATGTGCATCAAAGGCAAGAGTATGCATACTCAATGAAATAGAGGGTTCAGCTGCACTTGGGTGTGTGGGTGGGGGCTGGGCGAAAGTAATTTTCATTCATTACTCAAAACACTTCCACAAATCACATGGGAAAGATGTGGAACTTTATTCTCAGAGTATAAAGCCAGTCACTACGTGCTGCCTTTTCCTGATGTCCTGCATGTGCTGTACCTGCTGGCAGATGGGATAGGTGTGAGTTCCTGAGTATTTTTTCTCCTTCTCTGATGCTGATGACTGGTGTATTGAGTGAGTCTGATTGGCAGAGGCAGTCGAAGGGTCAGAGCTCATTCTGTTTTCTTTTTGACTGTGCAGAGCTGTTGGATGAGAACAGTTTAGACTGTGTTCAAAAACCTGTAGAACAAACTTAATATATCATCACTAAACAGGCTGATAGATAGACTTGCATATGCATATTTTTGCTAGAGAAGTACCTGTGACTACACAGAGAGAAACACCTTAAGTAAAACACCACCTAGAGCAATGAACTTTCTCTGGCACTACAATTTTTTATTGAGAAGAGGAATTAAAAAAAAATGGTAGTTCTAAAGTGTTTGGGAGACTGGCTCAATCTTGCACAATACTAATGCAACCTCTGACCTACATTCAGGCCAGGAAGTTTCTGACATGATATGGGTGCTCAAGCAGGGAAGAGAACATGGAAACATGACTCCAGCCCTTCTGGCTGAACACAAGGTGAGTCCTATGGCTGATGATGCAAAAAGACTGAAGACCTCAGAAGGAGCACAGTGAGGGGGATTGGAAAGGGATGGATCACTGTGCCTCCAAAGGCAATCCAGCTTTGGTACTCTCTAGGAGTTTATCATAACATCTCCCTGTGCCTACATGAGGTCTGTATGCAGCCCCACAACCCCAGGAAGGAGTCTATATGTCACGATATACCATCAATCTGTAGAACTCAGCAGAGTTTTTGTAGGAAAGCTCTCACATGCTTTGCAGTCTTTCCTGCCTATTGTTGGCTTTCCATTACTCTGCTTCTGAGTGTTCCTGAAAAACCACAAGAACTTCCTTACTTGTCATGTTTCATCTCTTATGCCTCAAAATGAAAAACAGCCGGATCCAGAACAAATCTAGTAAACGAAAAAAACTCCACCCAACCAACCAAAAAAACCAATGCACAAAAAACCCCCAGCCCCCCCAAAATTTCAAAAACTAAGGTGATTTCAAATCTGTATCTGGTTTTGGCCAAACTGTGCACCCATTTTTAGGTATTTTCCCTCCTGTCAGTTCATACATTCTTTGCAAGAATAATAACATTTTCTTTGAGTCCCCTACCAGTCTCTGATCTGTGCTTCTGTTTTGCTGCCTTTCAGCAAGTGATTTGCTGCTATGCTTATGGCTTAAACTTCAAGTTTTTGCTCAGGACCTAGTAAAAAATTATGGCTTGCTTCTTTTAATTTAAGATCTGGAATACTTTTGTCATTTGGGTTGATGCTATCATGAAGAGAGCTTTTTCTAAATCCCCTGAAAAACTTTGTGGCTCTACTGCCCTATTAACCATTGTTTATATTTTAAGGCAGGTAAAAGGTCAGTTCTAAAAACCTCACTTGAACAGAGGCAAATAAGATCAATCAATAATTAACACTCTTCATGTCCACTAAGTCCAAATTCCTGCATATAGAACATTTCTCTTGGCATATCCTGCTTGTCAGCTCCATTTTCAACTTGACCTGCCAGCAAGTGATAGCAACAAAACTATAGCAGGCATTCTGCAGATTTTTTGTATCCAGGTGGGTACTAATTTTATAAAGTAAGGACATAACAGGAAAAACTCAAAGAAAGCAGGAGTTTCAGAGCAGGACTACTGGGGCAGGCCTCTGGATAATAACTTTTAATACAGATTATTGAAAAATAAGCTGCTCTGTGTTAAAGGAAAGGTATTTAGGGGCATGAAAGAGGAAGCAAATAACCGCGTGTGAAGGACAAAGGACTGGAAGCTGGGGAGTCAAAGTGGATTTTTCCAAAGGAAAGGCACAGCCTGACAAGTTTTTCCCACACTGCTCCCCCATTAATACCAGCCTGTTGTGAAACAACCTCATTTTGTGTCTCCTCAGTGCTGGACCCTCCTGGAAGGAAAGGTGAGGCCCAGCCCGGTGGCTCTGTGGGTGGGTGCCCGCCAGGAGAGGCCCAGACTCCAACCCCCTCCCTGCCCTGAGGAAGGGCGTGCTGCCCTCCCGGCCACGCCGCTCCTAATCTCTCGCTACTTTATATTTTTAGCGTCTTTGTTTCCCTTGTCCTGCTGCCAGCCGGGCAGACAGTGCAGGCAGTCAAGGAGCAGCTGCCTGCCGGAGCTCGAAGGCTCACGTCACACAGGCAGGGCTGCCGGGGCAGAGCCAGCCAGCCAGCGAGGGGGTGAGGTTAGGTGAAACATTAGCCACGTCCTCTTGGCTCCCCTCCAGAGCCCTTCAAATATTTCTTTATGTGCTGCTGATGCTGGGCTTGTTTGGCGTTTAAAAGGTATGCTCCAAGAGGATTTCACAACGAGCTACCATTTTACAGTTCAAAACAGATGCGAGCTTATCACCCATGGAAATGTGTGTCTCCATGAAACCCTTCCTCTCCCCTCCTCGAGGCTTGCAGAAGAGCCACTCCAGGAAGATCAATCATGAGGACTGTGTAATCGGCTAAAAATAATGCGAGTTGTAAAATTCTGGAAACTGTTGCTCATTTTGGGATTTGAAGATTCATATGTCAGTCAATACCAATGACTCTTGAAGCTGGACAACAGTAGGTAAGGGCCAAATGTTCTTCTAAGGTGATTAACGTGACATGTAATCTCTTGCCTCCACGCTAGTTGCCAAAGTGTGCCTCCTCAGTTTCCCAGGTTGCAGGGAACAGGTAGATATTCATGACAGTTTGTCAGGCACAGAATTTCACCATAGATTAAGAAAAACAGTGTTGGAAGGCAAAAGGAACTGTGCCTGTATCACTCCTGACAGATGCCAGTCTAACTAGTTCTTAAAGACTCGATGGAGACTCCACCAGTGCCGCAGGCAACCTCTTCCAATGCATCTTTGTCCTTCCCATTAGAAAGCTTTTCTTTATGCAGATGGGCTATGTTCCTTATCTGCCCGTCCAGCCACATAAAGGTGGAGTGGCATGTTGCAACACCACTGGTGACTTGCAGAGTGTCTGAAAGACAGTACTTCCTCTGGGTCAGGATGGGGACGGTGAGAGGAATAAATTTGATAAACCTGGAGCGCAAATTCAAATGGCTGAAATACATCTTCTGCCCAGGATGAACAACAGAGATGTCAGAGAAGTGAGCAAATGCAGGCATGAGCTTTCACAACTTTTGTAAGCATCATAGGCTTGTATCTTAATTTTGTACTGGATTTGTAATGTCGTCAAGAGAGGCTAATGCACTGAGATGACTTTAATTTGTGTGCTATTCTTTAAAGAAACAGGATGTTTGAGTACTCAGGGATAAAATATTTTATGTTTAATCTGGACTGGCTCTTTGACAAATTTTGTTGGCTGGACTGTTATGCTAGTGCTGTGTTAACACTATAAAAATGGGCAGAGGATTTTTTTCTGTTTGTAAGGAATAGGTAATATTCTGACCAAATTCCAGGCAATTAGCACTGCTTTTGAGCTCATTTTGCTTTTGCTTCTCCTGGCATACATCAGAAAAAGAGTAGCTTGAGAAGAAAGACATGCTTACAATTTGACACACACACACATAGCTTGCCAAGAGAGGTCACTGCAGCATCCTGGGTGGATGCATTCACAAAGGCATGAGACAATACACTCAGAAGGCTAGTCAGAGGGGACCACTGCCTGCCACGTAGGGTTTGGATCTTACGCAAGACTCTAAACCCCAGAAGTGAAGAAAACTCTGCACTTTCCTAATCATGGAAATGACCTTAATATAATGAGGTATTTAAAAAAAGGCTATGTTTCTTATTTTTTTTCCTTGCATATACAAGAGAGAAAGGCAGACAGTGTGTGTTGCCAGTTCTTTTACATGGACAGAGAGTGATACTCTCTTCTGTAAGAACTCTCTCTGGCCTCCTGAGAGTAGAAAATTTCCAGCTAGCCCTCAGAGTCTTAATTTCTAATTAATTTATTCTAGATCCTACCAGCCCACTTCTGCACTCTTCTCTTGCTCAACAATTAGTTATGCAACCCAAGAAAAACATGATATTAATTCCTGAATTTCCAAACTCAGTTCTTGCACTGAAGTCTTTTTGCCTACCTATCTCTCCCACTGCTGCTGCTCCTGGATTCTCCATCCCAGGGTGGAGGAAGGCAGTGCTGGAGATACTTCACTTTGGTGCCACTGCTCACAGACCTGGTGCTGAGGGATGGAGAGTGAAGGGGGAAAAGAGTGCAGGATGACCCACTTTTCATTGACTGATATCCAAAACAAATCACCTTGCATGTCCTTCTACATAACATGGATCAAAAGGCTTCCCTGCAGTTATTCCTGTTTGAACTATTCATTTTCTTTGAGTAAACTAGCCAATTTTAAGTAAATTATGCCCAGTGATGGAAGAATCTACCCTCTGCTCCATGTAAATTGTTCAAACAGGTAATTTCTCCTCTCTGCTGAAACCACAGGCCTTATTTCTAAGGCAGATGTGTGTGACAGCCCACTTCCAAAGCTTTGCTTCAAGTGTGCTGGGTCCTGCACTTTGGCCACAACAACCCCATGCAGCGCTACAGGCTGGGGATGGCAGCCAGGCAGAAAGGGACCTGGGAGTTTGGATTGACAAGAAGGTGAACATGAGCCAGCAGTGTGTCCAGGTGGCCAAGAAGGTCAATGGGATCCTGGCCTGTATCAGGAACAGTGTGGCCAACAGGTCCAAGGAAGTGATTCTTCCCCTGTACTCAGCACTGGTGAGGCCACACCTGGAGTACTGTGTCCAGTTCTGGGCCCCTCAGTTCAGGAAGGATATTGAGGTGCTGGAGCAGGTCCAGAGAAGAGCAACAAGGCTGGTGAAGGGACTCAAGCACAAGTGCTATGAGGAGAGGCTGAGGGAGCTGGGGCTGTTCAGCCTGGAGAAGAGGAGGCTCAGGGGAGACCTCATCACTCTCTCCAACTCCCTGAAAGGAGGTTGTAGCCAGGTGGGGGTTGGTCTCTTCTCCCAGGCAACTATCAGTAAGACAAGAGGGCATGGTCTTAAGCTCTGCCAGGGGAGGTTTAGGTTGGATATTAGAAAGAATTTCTTTACAGAGAGAGTAATCAGACATTGGAATGGGCTGCCCAGGGAAGTGGTGGATTCTCCGTCCCTGGAGGTTTTTAAGATGAGACTGGATGTGGCACTTAGTGCCATGGTCTAGTAACCACGGTGGTGTTGGATCAAGGGTTGGACTTGATGATCTCAGAGGTGTTTTCCAGCCCAGACGATTCTATGATTCTATGAAATACAGGTACTCATAAACTATACCTGTATGAGCCTTTCCCTTTTCTCTACCGAAGAGCTCCAGCTTTTGGAAACTCTTGCTGTAAGACATTTTCTAGTCCTCAGTCATTCAGTGAACTCTCTTCTGAACCGTCTACTCTTTACATGTACATGTGAGGCCAGGACACTTTTAAATGGAGACCAGTTACAAGCTTTGTCCATAGCATCTAGAGTTCCCAGATTCGTACACACAAGGATTCCTCTAGCCCTTTAGTTGAAGCAAACATTTTCTCCTGTTGGATTATCTACCCTGGCCTCCCAGCAGACTCACTGCTTCTGAGGACTCCACTAACCTGTGAGGACGACCTGAAAGATTTGTCCTCTAATGAATGACTTTACTTTTGGCTGTACTGAAGCTCGTATCAAAAATTTGTTGCTTAGGTGCAGTTTGCCAAGCATGTCACATTGCTCCTACTCCGGGACATGATTTCTTCATTATTGACTGCTCCATCATTTCATGTGACTTTGGGTCTGTCCCTACTCACTGAGCTATCCAAGTACTTCACATCAGATAAAATACAAAAGAGGAATAGAAACAAAGAACCTTCTGTCCCACCTGTGCTCCTGAACCACAAGGCTGAATCACATTTCTTAGACTTACTTTAATTTTGTCTGCCTAGTAGAGATAACATAGAGCTATGAAGGAGGATCTCTATCTCATCTCTCCTAATTAATGAGCAAGTGCCAAATTTGCTGGGTGTGCCTAGCTACACCAGTGGCCTGTAAGCTAATGTCAGCCCAGGTGACATTGTCATCTATCTCCTTGTTCCTGGAAGAGATGGGGAGTATCACTAGAACTGTTCCTGTAGGGAACCTTTCTAAATAACCACAAGAAACCTCCTCATCCTGCTGTAACGTAGACTACAGAGCAACCTCCACCCCCATCTCCCCAGACCCATGATGCAGCAGTGCAGGAGCCTTGTTTGGTGCCCTGTGACAGATGAGGGTGGAGATAGCTCTTTGCTTTAGGGCATGCTGTCTGCTCCTGTGACTTGTGCCACCAGTATTAGGTCCCAAAGCTGATAAAAGCGAATTGCTGGTTATTTTAGAATATTGGACTCCCCCACAATTCACAGGACCCTATCTTTGATGTTCTACATGAAATTCAATGCTGAGGTATATTCAGAGTGCATCGACTAGACTGAGCCCTTTGTGAGACTTTGGTGCTGTGTTTCCTAGTCTGTGGATGCCACTCAGCTGTGGGCATGAAGTAGGTACCGATAGCTCAGTATGTGTGACATGGTGGTGAGTGCAGGCTGCACAGAAGCCCAGGAATGCTGAGGTTTGATAATGAGGTACCACATGTGTTTGGAAAACATCAGGTTGCAAGTGCCTCAAATAGTTTGAGGATCCCTCCTCCTTTTTTTCCCCCTCTAGACACCAGTTTCCTTTACTGGATCTAGCCATAGTGATTTTGACTGCAGCCTTCATGTATTGTTTCCATCCACACTAGGGCTCTACTTCTTCAGTTTTTCCACCATCCATTCCTCTTCAGCCTCTTTCCATCACTGCAACCTTTTCCCTCAGAGAGGTCCTACTATTTCAGATCTTTGCCAAATTTAACTGGTCATTAACACAATGAGCCAGGTTCTGATCTCATTTACTTCTGCAACCTTAATAGAGTTTCTCTGGACTTGTACTAATGCATATGAGAACAGATCCTCTTCCATTTAATTTGCCCTAAGGCGTATTTGCTAAGTGCTAACTGTGTATTTGGCTCAGTACAGAATGCAGACAAGAAGACTGATGCATAATAGAGAGCTGTTACTTCCCAGATGCTGCTGCCTGGGCCATTTGCACGGAGCACTGTAGTCATGG